CTCAGTAACTTATCGTATGAGAAAATAGAAATGGGAAATTATAGTAAAGGCTCAAATCATAAACAATTGGGTAATTTACATAATAATAACTGCACATATTTTTGAATAATAATTTTCTTTATATATTCAGTTTCTTTCTTCAACACGTTTCCTTTTCAATTTAGAATTTTTGGATTTAATTAAGGATCTGTTATTCTAAAAAACTCTAAATGCATTTAGAATTTATACAAAAAGCAGCTAATTTTATTTCTTTAGTAATATAAACATTCAGAAGAAATATGAAATATATATGGTAAAGGCAGGTTACAGAGCTGATGTGGGTGAATTTTTAAATTTAGTGACACACCGAACAACAAAATCTAGAAATGGCAGAACTTTTAGAATTTAGAGCAGACATTGGAAGCATAAATTAGAAGGGCACTAGGCAGCAGAATTTAAGATCCACAGAGATTGCATCAGGTGGGAAAATGTGTACCAGCTCTGTGTATGATGCATTAAGACATATTAGATGAATCTTTTAAATTGCAAGTTTTCAATTTCTTTATTAATAAAAAAATCATTTTCTATAATGCCTGTCAATGTGATAAAATTAGAAGCATTTTTGATGCTTTCCATGTTTGTGCCAAGTGAAAAGTAGAGAAAATAAAGGAAAGATAAACATGTTAAGAAAAAGATTCTAGTATCAGGAGTAAAACATTCAAATATTATGTTTTCATTGTTTTTCCAGACATTCTCCAGAAAGTAGAGAATTCATCGCAAACTTTCTGTAAAATACATCACAATGTTGAACATTTTTTCATTTTGTCACATATTTCTCGAATCTTCTGGAATCATGGGTCTATAAATCTCGCCTTCAAATCCTTCTAAACTTTCCAAACTGCAATGTCTAAAATACTATAGAAAAATTATCCCTACCAATTTTGTAACAGCAAAAAGCCAGAAATATTTTGAAAAAAAAAGGAGAGAAAAAATCTAAAATTAATTTATAGAGAAAACTGATGCATATTCTGAGAACTTTGAATATTCTGAGACAATTACATGGGAAAAACTCTTACTATGAAAAAATTAAAAAGAAGACTTTTTAATTAATTACATAGCTAATTTTGCTTTTGCTAAGAGCTGTTTCATAAATTATGCTTTATAGCATTATACTTTTATTTTTCTGATTCAAAATATTGTATAATAAGTTGCCAAAATGAAACTTTATAATATGGCCGTGAAAAAATAAAATTTTTTTATTTTAATGCAATTTTTTAAATATAATTTCAATATATTACCATTATTTTAATGAAATTTATCAATGTTACGATGTTTTAAAAAAATCGTTGAAAAAGAATCATTCTCAGATCTCGGAGGAATTAAGAATTTTCTACAGAAACTGATCTTAAAATCGCCAAAATGTTTACAAGTTGCAAAATTTAGAACTGAATAAAATTCGAAAAATAAAAGAATTCACATCTCCGAAAGCAAAAAGTTGTTTAAGAGCTCTTTATTAAAAAAATAATAATAATAATATTGAAATGCTTATGTTTCACTTCTTGCTTAAAAACTTGAGTATCCCATCATTTATATTAGAAATAGAAACAAATTATAACCCATGAACCCATTCAAAAGATAACCATATATGTCAGTGAATGGCCAAAACATTCCTCCAAAATGCTAATTCACACTCAAAATGGCAGTCATAAAAACAGACAGAAATTTCAGATGATTAAAATTAAGGATCTTCTGCTGATTTTGACCAAAATGCAGGACTTTTAAGCACCAAAAATTGAGGAGGGACTTTTAAGGACTCTTAAGTACTGTACAAACCCTGCATAACTGCTCATGCATTGTAACACATCGTTTAAATCAAAAAAGCTAATCATCTGCTCAAATGAATAAATCTGTTGAAAACTATTAAAACAAAATTGATTCAAATTACCTATCCATCTATAATCTTAGATACAAATATCTGGTTACTTTTGGAATGAAAATATATTTTGTTGTATTATGTCTTATCTGATTTTTATTTTTAAGCATTCATCTCAGAATATTAGTATATATAAACGCATATATCTTGTTATAAAATATTTTCTGCACATCTTCCAAACTAAACAAATACAATTTCATATTCAATTCTGAAATAATGAATTGATGCATAAAAATTTGCAAATGCAAACAACTTCCTTTAATAATACAGTGAAACTTCAAGATACGAGTTTAATTCGTTCCATCCAGCATTGAGCTCATATAGCGAATTCTAGAAACAAACTTCCCCATTGAAAATAATGGAAATCCAGTTAATCCGTTCCACATCCCCAAAAATATCAACATAAAAATCAATTTTTCTAATAAATAACACTGGTAAATAATATAGCCATAGTTTACCTTTATGATAGCTTTTGACACCGACTTTTTAACTGCTTCTTGTTAAAACATGCAAACAAAAGTTTCTCAACATCTTCTCTAGGAGTTTTGGACGATGCTTGGAAGTAACAGTAATTCCTTTGGCTACATCAAGTTTCTTAATTTCTTCCTGCTTCTTCAAAATAGTGCAAATCGTCGATGTCAAAAGGCCGTAAGTCTTCTGTCACTCTTATACCATGCTCATGTTTATCTATCATTTCTTTCTTAATTTCAATGGCCATGGCTTTCTTATTTTTCTTTGCAGCACTATCTGAGGCAACAATCTTCTTGGGAGCATCGTGAAATAATTATTTTCACGTTAAATGTAATAAAAAATTGACTCACAAGCGAACAAATGCGTAAATCACAGAACACTGAGTAATCTGGCAAGGGAATTCCCCGAGTCGAGCCGGATAAGGAAATGGCACCACACATGCCAACAGCCTGGCTCAATGCTTGTATTTAGAGACAAATTTTTCGCTCATACTTTCCTTGCATCTCGAATTTCTCGTATACAGATGTGCTTGTATCTCAAGGTTCCACTGTAGTTTTTTAAATTTGCAAATTTTTTATGTGCCATTATTACATAACTCAATATGATATTTCAATTGGCTTAGATTACATTTTGGAATTTAACAAATATTGCCACTGAATTAATGCAGATTACAACACATAATTTTCATTTTGGTTTTGAACTTAATTTGCTCTTCATTTAAATCATTCAAACTTTATTTTTATATCCCCTGTGACATCGCAATGAGGTTGACCATTCAGCGTGTTTTCCCTGTTATTAGTGTTTACCCTGTGAATGGTTTGAAGAACTTATGATATTGTTTCATGCTTAGGAGGAATTGCTTAATATCCACATTTTCCTTGAGCTATTTTCAGCCATTTATTATTCTTATTTTTATAATAATTAAAGAAATATCAATGATTAATTTAGAAGTCAAACAACAAAAATCAGCGTTATGTTTTCAAATTTGCACAGGACTAGTTTCGATGGTTTTAACGAATGATCATCCTCAGCTGCAAAAACGCGAATGAAATCAAGTCATCCAACTAAACAAAAGTTAGCTTCGTTTTATTCCTATGTTTTCCATGCACTTCAAGTTTGCTCTTCCAAACTATCTCTTAATGAATAACTGAATTATTTAAAAGCAATAGCTATTGAGTTGGGCTTTTCACCCAACATTATTAATCAAGCAGTTAAAAAATTCTCATCTCAACACACCAAAACCTGATACTCTTGTATCAGGAGCTTATAAGAATTCTGTTGTCCCTTCTTTCCATCAATTAGCTATAAAACTACACGTATTTCACAGAAATTTAACTTTCGTGTCGTTTATTCTCCCATCAATAAAATTCCGAGTTCCATACTAAAGGACCCCATTCCTGATATTAATTTCTGATGTATTTACAGGATTCCTTGCCATTGTGGTTTGATTTACATTGGTCAAACTAAAAGAGCCTTAAAATTTCGCGTTAAGGAACATGACGCGTTAGTTAGAAAAAAGGAAATACAGAAGTCTTCTGTTGCCCAGCATTGTTGGTCTGAAAATCATACTTTCAATTTTTCTGCAACCAAAATTATTCAAAAAACATCTTCCATTAGAGAATTTGATTTTCTAGAGGCATTTCACATTAATAAAAATCTTTTTGTTCTAGTTAAAGACCATAATTCCAATCCATTTTTGCTTCAGCCTTAAAGGAAATTATGTTTTAGTTCTCATTTTATCAACAGATGGTGACAGTAGCTTAACTCCTGCCTAGTCTTTATCTTATCTAATCACTATACCTTATCTTGTTCATTTGCGTTTTTGCAGCTGAGGATGATGGTTTGGTAAAACCATCGAAATTAGTTCTGTGAAAATTTGAAAACATAACACTGATTTTTGTTGTTTGACTTCTAAATTAATATTTGTTTGGGGTGTTATTGCATCTCAAATATCAATGAACCTGTAGTCTTCAAAAGTATTTTTGGTTATATGTAATATTGTTAATATCAGGAAATTATGGAACTTAAAACCTCTTAAAAGATTTGCAGCTGACAGCTGAGGGACCAGTTATATTATATATATGTTAATAAATGTAAAAGGAATAATGCTTCAAAATATTAATTCTTTTTGTTCTTTTTCATACTTTAATAGTAATGGCTCCAACTTATTAGTAAAAATCTTAATAAAATTTCTCATTGCATAAAATAAAAATCCATTCCTGAGGTATAAGTATTTAAGTGTAATCTGCACTGAAACATTTTTCTAATTTTATAGTTTTTTAAATGTCCAAATTAATGGGCATCTTGTACTCTTAATACTCCAATTTGTAAATATTTAGTTGCTTTAAGTTTCAGCTTTTTTAAACCTGATATATGTTTTCATAGCAGATAAAAAAAGTAATCACATACTTAATAAGAAGTATAGAATTAAAACAATAACTAACTAATCCACATTTTAAGATAAGAGTTTTTAATGCTTTTAATAACACCACACAAACATACACATGAGAATATTTCAACCAGTATTATATCATTAAGAAAATTAAACATAATTTTCATGGAATCCAACATAAACATAGTATTCGAGTAAGTAGAAAATAATCATGCTTCACAATACCTGAAATTATAGCTACAATACTCAAAATCAATGAAAACTATTTTATCTTCACTAACTGCAGTTCGTTCTGGAAGAAGAATATTTCCTGAAAAATACAATGAAATTTACCCAGTTAGCAAGAAAAGCGAATCTCTCATTATCACAAACACAATCCAATCCCAGTTTAGTGATAAACCAATTCAACAAAATTCATTTTGAATGGTCCTTGCCAAAGTATATAAAATTTATGTATTCCCAATTTAATATATTACTCTATTTAGCAATAATATTTTGTAAAAATTAAAAATTCTTAAAATCATCTGCAGATGTTGAATAATGCTAAAACATGTTATTTTCCATGAGTTTTTATTATTTTTAAATATTCCTTAGTAAACCGTTTCAAGCTTTTTAAATAAATAGGAACGACAGGAATAGCAATTACTACAAGGTTGTTCAATAAGTTCTCGGAGCGCAATCTATTCGTCAATATTAGACCTAAAACTTCGACGCCATTTTCATATTTGTTCTTTCTTAGGAACACATCAAAAGTTTCATTTTGATCTGTTAATTTATTCATTATTTAACCGCCCTTTATATCTAACATGTTGTGGCTTTTTTCAGGTATGGATAAAATTGAGCAACGTGCAGTTATCAAATTCTTTGTAAAGAAAGGTTTAAAGGCAATGGAAATTCATACCGAAATGGTGAATGTGTTAGGTAATTCCGCTCCTCCTTCAAAAACAATGGTTTGCAAGTGGGCTAGTTTATTATTCAAAAGTTGTCGTACCAGCCTTGAAAACGATCCGCGAGAGTGACGTTCAAAAACTGCATCAACACCGGAAATCATCGGAAAAATACAAGATATGTTTATTGGAAGACCGTCGATTGACAGAAAGAGATTTAACAGAGGCTTTAGGCATTTCATTGGGCACAGTGAGCAATATTTTCAGTGTTAATTTGGGTTTCAAAAAACTCTGTGCAAAATGGGTGCCGCATTCCCTAACGATGGAGCAAAAACACATTCGGATGCGACTTTGCCAGCAACATTTGGAGCATTTTAAGAAGAATAAAAGCGACTTTATCTGTCGATTTATCCCAATGTATGAGACTTGGGTCTACCATCATGATCCTGAATCAAAACAGGAGGCTAAGGAGTGGTGCAAACCCAGCTCTTCGGGGCCGAAGCGAGTTCGTGTGCAAAAATCAGTCAAGGTGGTGTTAGCATCAGTTTTTTGGGATGCAAAAGGAATTTTGTTTATAGATTACCTTCAAACTGACAAAACAATTAATTTGTATTATTATTGTAACCTTTTGAATCAATTAGACGAAAAACTTCGTGAAAGAAGACCCGGATTACAGAAGAAGAAAATCATTTTCCACCATGATAATGCACCTCCGCACACAGCTGTGGTGGTGTATTTAATTATGGCAAAGCACACTAGGGCTATCTGCCTAAGGGGAGGGATGCCTTTCGTGGAGGACTTTCTAAGGGAAACTGGCTCGTATACACGTTACACATGGGGAAAACCATGAAAACGCCCATGCAGCCAGCCCGTTCGCGGGATTCGAACCTCGGACCGAACTACCAGTGTTCAGCGACTTTACCGCTCGGCCGCTGGTGGGCCCTTGCGCACACAGCTCAAAAAAGCATTGCTAAAATAACTGAATTGAAGTACGAATTGTTGCAACATCCAGCCTATTCGCCAGATTTAGCTCCCTCCGACTTCTGGCTCTTCCCACATCTCAAACAACACCTCCGTAGAAAATGATTTTCTTCAAACGAAGAGGTAATAGCTGCCGTGGAGGGATATTTTGCAGAGCTGCCGAAAAACTAATACAGTCAAGGGATCCATAAATTAGAAGACCGTTGGAATAAGTGTATTGAAGTTGAGGGAAACTACGTTGAAAAATACAGTCACTTTTACAAATAAAATTGGTTTCTTAATTTCCGTTCCGTGAACTTATTGAACAACCTGGTATATTTCTTGGTTAAGACATTTTTTTAGGGGTAGGTGTAGAGCATATCAATATATAACACATCTATTTACATGATATATCTCGTAAGATCAATGGTCTTCAAACTGTGTTCTGCAGAACCCTGGGATGAGTTAATTCCAAGGGTATCATTAGTCAAAAATTCAAAAAGAAAATTATAAAGCACTCACACTGGCTGACTAGTGTTTACTTACTAAAAAATATAAAGACACATTTAGTTATAGATTAGTTTTAAAACAACATATGGCCATCATATGTGAAAGAGGATGAAGTGCAATGCTTTGCAAAAGTAAACAATTTGTTAATGGAAAATGCATTGAATTTGGATGACAGTGTTAAAAATTGTATAATGAAGTATCTTTTTCAATTGAAGAAAACTATAAAAGAATATTTTCCAGCAAAAAACTTTGTAGATTCATGAAGAATACTTAGAAGTTCCTCACAAAGTGTAAACATTTTAATGCTTTTTAAAACACCATATTTAAGTGAAAAATATTTCTCAACACATATGTGTTACCAAAAAAATACAAAAGAAATTAAGTGTGACTATAGTGAACATTAACAAAGCTAGACAGTTTGTAAAAAAAAAATTGCAAGCACAGCAATGTCACTAAATATAATGCAAGGTTAGGTGACACTTGGTGTAGGTTTTAATACTATTAATAAGTAAATTATATTAATTTTATGTTAAAATATTTTAATAAAAACATATTTTTACATTTTTTAATAAAAACTGCACTTTCTTTAAGTATCCTTACATAAAGTTGATGCATGTAAACATATTGATCTACTTTAAATATTATTTTATGATCTATTCTTTAAATGGTAAGATGGGGTTTTCCCCCAAAAAACTTAATAGTTCTAAGGATTCTGTAATTCATTCCGAAAGTTTGAAGACCACTGCTCTAGACCATAACATGCACCCATATTTTATTTTGATTTTTCAAAGTTAAAAAGGTATGTCTACAGTATGAGAAACAGATAAAGATTAATAAAGAATTATATTTTTAAAGTTATATATTCTAAATTTATGATATAAATTTTTTGTTAAAACTGGTATCACATGATAATGATCTCCGTAAGATAAAATAAAAGTTTGAAGCTTCAGTGCTGCTCCAAAAACTGACAGTATTCTAATTAGTTACACAGCATGATACTCTTTGAAAAGACTAAGAGGAACATATAGAAGTCACCACTGTTGAAGCAAATGAGGCTCCATAGCAAATAACTGATGATGTTTAACAAGGATCACACCATTTTAATGCATTTATTATAACTGATAAGGCAATTTTCAATATGTGAAAGATTTTTTTAAAAATATTTTTCATTTGTACTCAATAGAAAACAGTAAGGTAACTGATAAGTACAAAATAACATTCTACACACACTGGCCAATGAATTAGAAAACCTTTCAGATTTTCACATGAATGCGTGCTAGGGATGAAGTATGCAACTTTCTTTTATGACGTGTGTTACTAGAATGCTAGTATAGGTAAGGTGTAAGAGTGCTTTTCACAATGAACAAAGTAAAATGGGAAAAACGACAGATCTTTCGATTTTTCACCATTTGAAAAAGGAATTATTGTTGGAGCTCGTTTAGCAGGGACCTGGACTTCACGGACAGCAAATTTAACTGGGTTCTCAAAAGCAGCCATATCAAAGGTTTTCAAAACTTGGAATCAGAACCTAGTCCTTCTTTACAAGATGTAACTGTGGTTCGAGCATGGTTTTCCAAGACAGTGATCAGCGGTGTCTCCGGCAAATTGTATGGTAAAATAGAGACTTCACCGTGCTTCAATGGACACAAATCATCTAGAAAGGCTCTTCCAAACATATTTCAGCTCGACACATGCACAGAGAATTGCAGAGGATAGGAATGCATAGTCGGATGCCTGTGAGAAAAACACTCATTTCTGCCCAACATGCAAGAATTCGTTTGCAGGGGTCTCAGGAAAGATGACATTGGACATCTGAGAATTGGAAACAGGTAGTGTGATCAAATGAATCCCACTACACCTTATTTTGCACTGATGAAAGATGCCGAATTGGGCAAGTTCACAACGAATCCATCTTGCCTTACTCCCACTGTACAAGAGTCTGATGGGAGTATCATGATATGGGGCATGTTCTGCTGGCATTGAAGAAGTGCCCTGGTGTTCCTTAAGGGTAAACAAACAGCCATGGATATTTCTATATACTAGCAAGATCAAGTGCGCCCTGAACTGCTGCATTTTTTTTCCTGATGGTGATGAACGATAATGCACCTATAAATCATGCCAGAAGTGTTCAAAATTCATTTGCTGAACATCAGTCTGACTTCCAACACCTTCCCTGGCCATCACATAGCCCAGAACATAACCCTACAGTAAATGTGTGGGATATGGTGGTAAGACACATTCGGCAGTACTTTCCTCTTCCATCTAATTTACAAGATCGAAAAAGCTGCATAGCCAATGCATTGTACTCCCTGGGTGTAAATGCACTCCAAAAGCATGTAAACTTGATGCCCAAACGAATCAGAGCAGTTATCTGTGCAAAAGGTGGTCCAATAAAATATTGATCTTGGGGTTTTAACTCACTAGCTAGTGTGTGTAGCATTTTGCAATATACATCATGCTTAAAATTATATTAAGTTGCATAACTGATTTATTTAGCAATAATCTTTAAGAGTCACAAGACAATCATTAAATCAGAGTTGTACTGTGAAAGAAATAACTCAAAGAAATATTTAAAATGTACATTATCGTGACATATAACATTACTTACCTTCTTGTAAATCATTATGACAGAAAAGAACTGGTGATGCAACTTTAGTTAATAATGACCTAAAGGAAACGAAAGAAATTGGAAATTGTTTTAAAAGTTATTATTTTTATATCCAAGCCATTCTTTACTATTAAAAATTAAACAAAAAGAGAAGCCATAGTTTTTTTTTTTTTTTTCCCTCCACTTAATGAAAGATAAGTGTCACAAATTTTCAACTATCCCAAACTTAAACAGCATTTTTAATCTTATTCTTAACAATTTTAACTTATAGCTACTATAAGATTTCAAAAACCAAATTAAACGGAAGTTTTTATTTAAAATTTCTTTAATTTTAGATGTAAATTTACAAGTAAAAAAACAAAATTTCCATACCACTATCCATAAAATCTAAACTTGCTTTCATTTAGTTCAAAAACAAAATCACGACATAGAAATAATAAGCTGCTGACTCATTTTGCTACTGCAATTTTCATAACTAATATGTTTTATCTAATAAAAATGACTGAATAACATTTAAATTTTTTTATAATCAAACCAGCTAATAGCTCAGTTTCAAAAAAGAGAAAAATAAATAAAAAAGAGAAAAATAAATAAAATACATAAAAAATAAAATACACTCTTTTGCAAAAAAAATCGAAGTACCATGAAGGAAGGGGTTGTTTTTGATGAAACTGAATGTGTATAGCTGATACACAGATAATAAAACGATTAAAAAATCAAGGTCATAATACCTGTTCACTTCTCACAATCACCAATTGAGTGTTCAAATTAGTAGTTGGTCAAACCGCCCTTGGCGGCAATGCATGTTTGAATTTGTCGAGGCAAGGAGTGGTAGAGGTTCTTAATGTCATCCTGCAACACATTCTGCCAGGCCATTCATCAGTTATCGCTCCAGATCTGCGATATTTTGTGGTGCCCGAATCTGGCGGCCTACTATGCCCCAGATATGCTTGATTGGTGAAAGGTCTGATGACCTTGCAGGAAAAGGAAGAGTATCAACTGCACAGAGACAGTCCAGAGACATGCGAGCAGTAGGTGGCCTGGCATTATCTTGTTGGATAATGGCCCCAGGTGTCGTGCCATGAAGGATAATACACCGACCACAGGATGGTATCAACATATCGCTGAGCTGTTAAAGATGTACGGAGGATGATTAAAGATGACCTGCTGTCATAAAAAATAGTGCCCTACACCATCACACAAGAGGTTATGGCTGTATGGCTTTGTAAAACAAAAGCTGATTAGGACCGCTAGCCCCATCCTCTAGACATGAACCAGACGGTCATCTGCTTCAAGAGTGAAGCAGGATTCATTGCTAAACACTATACGATGCCAGTCCGATGGCAGTCATGTTGATCTGCTGTGATACCACTCCAGATGACTCCACCGATGTTGTGGGGTCAAAGGCAAGCGTCTTAAAGGCCCCTGTGAGAGTAACCCTGCCTCAAACAAGCGCCGTGAGATGGTGGACGGTGCCAGGGAAGATATAGACGTGGCTGCAGTGCGTTGAATAGTCGACAATGATACCGTTGGGGAGATTCGGGCCTGGCGAACAATCATCCTATCTTGCCTCGCATTTGCACTCCTAGGCTTTCCAGAACCTTCATTTCATCGGCAAATTCCTTGTAGCAACCACTGCTGCCAACATCTTTGCACACCAGTGTCTGTACGCTGCAGGTTGCAGCCTATTGCTTGGTATGACCTACCAGCTTCATGCAACTCTACAATGTGAACATGTTCAAAGTTGTTTAGTTGTCTGTAAGGTCTTCGATATCACCACAATGGCATCTTTAGTTGCTTCTTTATGGAATTACAATGGCAGCAACCAAAAAAAGAGATAAATTTTCTGCCTCTGTTACTGGTTTTATACTTTGCGAATTGCACAAGAGAAATGTGCGATATGATCACAATTCCTGTTCATTCGCCATGAAACTTTGATCATTTGCATGGTCGATCAATACGTTTTTGCATACCAAATTTCGTCACGATCGCAAAATTCCTTCTTGGTGCTTCGATTTTTGCAAAATAGCATAAATTTTTCAGATCTGGATTCGTATGTATTATTTTTTTTAAACATTGATTTTCACAACAGCTAAGCTATTATTCAGTATTCCAGTTTGAAGCAGCAAAAAAAAAAAAAAAAAAAAAAGAAATCTATTCTCAGGCTTCTTCAAATTTTAGTTAATTTTCCCTTTTCTTCCTTATATTATTCAAAAGATTTCTAACTAATTTATACCATCAGGAATGGCAAAAAATTATACCATACACAAAGGTGTGCGCCTTTTCCGAAATGTTATTTGCATTTATAAAAAGATTACTGAGTATCAATCAGCTGACACAGGATTGCTACTCAGTTTTGCCATCTGCATCGAAGATAACAATTTTTTTTTAGGTAAAACGTTCGAAACTTGTCCTTTACGAATTTAATTAATGCTACCAATCTCAACCCCTTCGCGCCGACTGTCACGTCTACGTGCCAGCAACGAACACACTCACTTCCCGGCCGACACGCAGGCGTGCCAGAGCATTTTCCCATTCAGCCCCGACTGTCACCTATTTGTGCCAGTGTCCTGGAACGTTTTGAAAACTATAATTTCTGCCACAAGATGGCACTGTATGTCCATATGGTTTCAGATACATATCATTAGACCTTTTACTCAAAATGAGAGAAGCATGACTCACATACACATGTTTTTGATTATATAAACAAAAGGGAAAATAAATGTTTCCGAATGGCGTAATTTATGACGTCTCTTTAAATTCGCACACAGTTGCTTATTGTAAGTAGAGAAGATTTATTTTCGCTAAAGCGTTGGGTATTTCGGTTTGCAGTTCAGTTTTTAGAAAATAATTAGATCTTGTTAGACGTGAATTCTTTCTGTTTTTACCGTTGCAATGTCGAAGCGTCGAAAATGTTTAACAGAGCATGAAATAGCAGAAATGATGCAAAATATTTCAGATATTGATTCTGAAATTCTGATATTCTGATATTGATTCTGAAAGATTAACTGAAAGACATTTTCCAAAACTTTGTTCAGAAGAGACTGATAAGAAAATGAGATGACGATGCTTCGTTTGTTCACATTCCTGGAAAAATCCTCCAAAACGGCAAATGAGTTATTATGAGTGCAAGGAATGTAATGTAGGACTGTGTGTAGATCCCCGTTTTCAAATTTTTCATACGAAAAGAGAATTTTAAGTAATATATTTAGTTTTCAGATGTATAATGTTAAAAGTCATAAAATGGTGAGTGCATCGTATTGTTATAACCGAATATATATTGGGAGACATTTATTTCGGCTTCATCTCTTTGTCAAACCAGACTGTATCTCGGGAAAAGTTAATGTGCACTCAGTTCAATAGATGACACCCCTATACTGAAGATGTCAAAGGTTAGAGGTTATAAGTTCTTTGGTTCAAAGTGCATGGGATCTTTTTGTTGTAAAATGGCGTCCACTTCTTTGAAACGTTATATAGATGATTTAGATTCTTCAACCGAAGATGAAGGATGTGTGTTTGATGAACGGTATTCATGATACTTCCATGGTCAGCCTCAAAATTAAAAAAAAAATTTTTTTTTAAAAATGAAGATATACTCAAGCCGAAAGATTGTTTCTGACTTACAGTCTAACTATGGGTGGTGTAGATTGCTGTGCTCAAGAAATATCCTTTCATCCAACAATCTGAAAACGTCAGAAAAAATATTGTAAAAAGATATTTCTACATTTACTTAGAGACAAGGTACTCTGGAACTCATATTTTGCTCTATAAAAATGTAGTTGGGAAACGTATTATATTTTTAGAATTTCGAATCCCAAGTTGTAGAAGAGCTTTTACATAAATATGATGATGCAGCTTCTGGAACAAAAGAATCGTTGGCAGACCACCTACAATAGATAACCCTGCCCGTCTTACTGAACGACATTTTATGTCCCATATTCCTCCTACTCCTGCGAAACGTGAGCATACAAGACAGTGCAAAGTGTGTTGTTCGAAAAAGGATAAAAATGGGGAAAAGATAAGGAAGGAATTACGATTCTGGTGTAGTGATTGTGGAGTTGGTTTGTGCTTGGAAAAGTGTTTCCAGTTGTGCCACACAAGACTAAATTACTGAACTACTAATAGGTATTCACTTTTATTTATTTTTTAGAAAATTTATCCCCCCTTTTTTCCATTTTTAGAAGATAATGCTCTACTAGAAGCGAACTTTACAACTGTCATGTTGAGTGGCAGCCGCCTCAAGCAAATATGCAGTGGCTACAAAAATTTAAAAATTTTAGCCATGTACGTCAAAATATCAATTTTTAACTACTTAAGTATATTTTATTTTGTACTAAACATTTGATTTTTGTAATAAAAAAATTTGACAATTTGTATACCCAGATCATCAAAATAACTTGACAGTTAAAGGGTTAAAGTATATATAAAAACATCTATAAAGCATAAGCTGTTTAAATACTTAATAGAGCATTATTAAACAATGCGTTGATACTTCGGAAATTTCATGGATTTAGGCTTAATAGCAAAAAAGCCCCCGGCCCTGGACAGACACTCGCGTAAGATACTGCCGGCCTCCGCGATAAGTGCGCGTACGCGCTACCCGGCGCGAAGGGGTTAATGCATATTTAGTAAAAAGAAGCTTAGATGCTCAGATATTATTAAAAAATAATACATAGCTTTTTATATTAGTAAATATTTCATTTTCAAATATAAACTTTAAGAATTTTGATTTACAATAAATAACTTTGGAAACTTTAAACGTTTATTGCTGCATTCTATATTTCAAAAATGAACTATTTTACTTTAAGTGACTTATGTGAAATAAATAATACAAACTTAAGCCACAAAAATTCTTTCTGGAAGTCTTGAGACAACAAGCCCATGGCAATTCCCTTTGTTTCATCATTCAAATTGTCTAGCTGCACTTCATTTTTTGCAAAATTTATCCAGCTGCAAATGAATAAATGAAATATTTTGAGAGTACGAAAATATTTCTTAAAAATAATATAAAATATTTTTTAATTTAAAATGAAAATTCAATATAAAAACTAATAAAGTAAGTAAAAAGCATATTAATATAATTATTTTTCTTAAGACAATATTTTAAAAGTTTTCCATAAAACTGACATTATTTTAAGTCTATCATATGAATATAAATTAAGATCTTAGGAAAATAAAGCATATAAAATATAATGAATGTTTCAAATAAAATGGGAAAGGGACCATCAGGTTAGGTGATTATAAACACATGCAATTCCAGTGGAGTTTCAATTCAATGAATAACAAACAACCCACAATAAAAAGATGCAGAAGTATGTGTATTTAATATCACTTATACAAAATGCTACAGAATCAAAGATTTCAAGCTATGAGAATTGCATATATATGTATATTTTCATTCAAAAACTTTACCACAGATAAAAACATTTCTGTAATAATTTTAATGCTGAATCAAGCAAAAGAAATGAACAAAATTTTTCATAGTTTTTCCTCATAATGTAATATAAATATGATGTTAGATCTGCCAGGGTAGTCCTTGAGAAAGTAACCTGTAACTTCCCATACATTTTCCTTATATTTCAAATAATTCAACTCTGCCATCCAACTATCTTTGTCCAAACTGCCACTACAATTTTCCTTTTCCTTTATTTTATTAGACATATGACACCAAAAACATGCAATAATTTTTAAACATGTTTATTATGATAAAGAGGGGAAAAGAGCATACAGAATTTCCTCACATAAGCCAAAAGTAACATCCATTGAAATCCAATGATTATTTTGAATAATGAAGAGTTCAAATAAGATCTTCCAGATAGACACTTGCCTATTGGATTACTTTAGAAAGATAGTCTTCTAAACAGAAAAACATAGAATGTTTTTATCTGCTATAAAAATCTTTTAAACAGAAAAACATAGAATGTTTTTATCTGCTATAAAAATCGAGAAAAAGTGCAAATCAGAACAAGAATTCCACAAGGAATTATATTAATTTTTTTATTTAGAAACTGATATCACAATAAAGGCATATTTTAATCTAACAACATTTTCTAACACATAACCTTAAAAAAAAATCTTAGCATACTGTATCACTTTTGAACGTATTTTATGTCAGCATGCCAGTAAAGAATGTGGATGAGATTACTGAACGCTGATGATTCATCCTGCAATTTAATCCTAAGAAACACACAGGCTGGTTGCATGAAATTTTTGGACTTTTTCCCCTTTACTATATGAACGTGAGTCAGTTTATCTTAAAATGTACTTCAAGAATACATCCCTCTTAAGGCTGATGGCCCCTGAATGCTTTGTTATTATAAGCAACTTCTTGGATATTATACAAAGTATTCTTTACAGCGTTTAATTCTACCAAACATATTTAAAAAAATCTCTTTAGCATACTTAATCTGATAATCAAGCATACAAGCAAAAAAAAAAAAAAAAAAAAAAAAAAAAAAAAAAAAAAAAAAAAAAAAAAAAAAAAAAATAAAAAAAAAAAAAAAAAAAAAAAACAAAAAAAAAAAAAAAAAAAAAAAAAAAAAAAAAAAAAAAAAAAAAAAAAAAAAAAAAAAAAAAAAACCGTTCAGATTAAGTTTCTTTAAATAATAAAAAAAAAAAAAAAAAAAAAAAAAAAAAAAAGCAGCAGAGGCAAGCAACTCTTACAACTTTGTCCATAGCCATATTCATCCTCAAATAAATTAACCTGAAGTTATTTGAATTCGTAACTATGAGTCAAAATGTTTGTAATAAAAATTTAACTAACATATAAATTTTCCTCTCACAGGATCGTAAAATTCATATATTTAAAATAAAATTATAAAAAAATTATAATTGGAAAACCAACAAAAATCACTAAATACTAATAATTTCATAGAAAATATGACAGAACTGGTTAAGCATCATAGTTCAGATGCATCAAACATTTTTATGCTTTTAAAAAATTGCAGTTTTAATATAACAAAATACAGAAAATTTTAGTTTTTACTTTAAAAAACTTATTAATTTACTTTCTTAAACTTAAAAAAACTTATTAATTGGGATTCATGAAATGTTTTAAATAAAGAATATATATATTTCCAGTTTTCAAATGAGTGATTCACATTTCAAAATCCTAACAATGCCTAATTTAGAAGAAGTAACAATCTACTGAAAAAAATTAAAAGTTCATAAAACAATTTTACATGAAACATTAATAAAAATAGAAAAATGATGTAGTAAATACAGCACTTTTTTTTCTTTAACTCAAACTAAATTTTAAAAAATCCATACTCAAACTTAAGGTTAATAATCCAAAAACATGAAGGTAAAATGAGAGTATTTCTATCATTTCAACAACAGAATGAAACAAAGAAATTATACTTTAAGAAATCGGTAGAAATTAGCATTGTTTAACTTAATAATACCAGTTTTGGTGAAGCTATAGAATTTTTACACAGATAAACAAAATAAACCAACTGATACTTTCGATGCTCAGCACCTAAGGTCCACTTTGTGTTTATTACAGTGGAGGAGCAATTCTTTTCCTGCAGGTCAGACATCTCATCTGCAATTAGCAGTTTTTACAGCAAAGCCACATATATATAAATATAAAAAAGTAAAACCACCAAAATATTTTTCTTTTTTTCAAAATGTTATAGAATTTTACAATTCAGTTTTAAAATGATACAGGTGTACGCATGTCTTAAAATTCTTCTTACTTTAACCAGCACACTTTTTTATTTTTAACTTTCGTAAATGTTAGAGACTGACATGTAATGACATTATTAATAGCCCATTTTTTATTACTCACAACAGATTGTACTAATTATTATATTAATTAAAAAGTTATATGAAAGACAAAATATGATTTAATTTTCAACAATTTCACATACTATTTATTTTTGTTTTATTGATATTAACAACTAGCCATTGCAGATGTGAAAACATTTTGAACTATGAATTCCTCACCACCATAACCAACAAACAGTTCTTTCAAACTGAAAAATTTTAAATATGTGTATAAGATCAGATAAGACACTTATAAAACATAAGACCATAAGATTATCGATGTCACAATTAACAAAGTATAAACTAGGAACTGTTGATTATTCCAAATAATGAATTTGGAGTAAATATAATATTAGAAGCAAATATCACAGTTGCCAACCTTGAAATCTGGAAAAACCAGGTATTTTTAACGTTGTGTGGCAATGCGATTTCAAGAAAACACAACATTGAACTCAAATTTGCTTCACAATACATTGAGGTTGTTGAACTACTTATACTGCGATTCTGATGCAATATATTAATATTTAATTAGATATTCTAAGTTTTATATCTTTGACTAATTTTATTTAATTTTGTTTTCTTATACTTTTATCCTGGCAAAATTCTGAGTAGGGGGAAAAGTTTTTATTTATGAAGGCACTTTTAAAAGTATGACCAAAAATAAAACTGATAACTAATGCCAAATAATTAAATCTGTTGACAACTAACTGCAAATTTAAAGCATTGTGACAGGTGTGGATGACTGTGGCAAAAAACAAAGCAATCTCTTCACTTCATATCGGTTAACATCCCTTCAACTCGAACAGATTAAAAATAAGAAATCTGCTTTTGCACACTTCTTCACCCAGTGTCTCACGTGTCATACTGGACATACTATTACAGTTCATTTCATAGATAGATAGGTGAAAAGATAAAAGCCTCACAGGTAGAGCCCAAATAAGAGATTAAAAACCAGCAGATTGGTTGATCTATTGATTTGGTAGTGGCAAAATATAACACTGAAAATGAAAAACCAGGAGTCTCCCAGTAAAACTGCGAGAACTGGCAGATATGAAATATGTTTAAAAATAATAAAATTAATTGTAAACTATTATCACAGAGTACTTTAAGTAATAATTTATTTAAATTAAAATATGCCTGAAAAACTGCTCAATATTTTAGTATTAAATCTCATAAATAATTAATAAAATAATGTATTTATTTTATCTCTGATTTATTCTATCATCATTTTTGAAGAAGAAAGAGTTTATATTTTATATGCAAAATATCATGTAAATGTATACTTATATGCATTTATAATGCAGTTTCTTACACATTTAGTTTCCCCCCAAATTTATGTAAATAAAAACACACAGAAAAATATATTGCTTACAGACAGCAATAACTTAAAAATATAATAAACCAAGGTAACCTTATTTTTTACATGTTTTAAAATGCTACATGTTAAAAACTGATACATGTACTGCAATTTTGAATTGAATGAAAATATGCTAGATGTTTCAGATTTATTTTATAGAAATCAAATTACCAATACTAATGGTATATATTACTCATTCATGAAATTATACTTGAAGACTGAAATTTTTCAATAGAGGTACAATTTAATTTACCTGAAGGAAGGGAAAAATTATTGTTATTGTATTGCTTTCCACCATAGTTAGAGATACATCAGCCTATCTATCAAAGTTAAAAACTTTTATTTATATATGATTACACAGGCCCATACAAATTGCAACTGTTGTTTAAATTATTCTTATTGACCCCACTCTAAATTACAATTTTTTTGATAAACTTAAAAATTAAGTCAAAATAATTTTTTGTGTTACTTAAGAATAACCAGAATTTTTGCAAGTCTCAATTATTACTGGTCATTTTGAACAAATGTGAATAAATTTGTTAGTCATGTAATTTATCAAGACAAATAAATTAATTGAATGTTGATAATTTGCATGAGTACACCTGTATGCTATTACCAGCAAACATTTAAATAATTTCAAAAATGATTAAATTTAGAAATTCTTGATAATTCCATACATTAATATTTTTTTAGTCTTTCATGCAGTCTTATTAGAAAAACAGAAATGGTGGTTTTATTGAAATTATTTTCATTTATTATAACAAAAATTTCTCACCTGCACATTTGAATATTGAATGATACTAAAAATTAAAATAAAGATGTTGGCATACTCGGCAAAAAGATATAAAACCTACCATTCTATTAAAATTAAAAGAGTAATCATTAAAACTTAATACCATAAAAAAATGGCGACAGTGTCAAAAAAATTCAGCTGTATTTCAATATAATTTCTTAATACTTGAACAAGATTAATTTTGTAAACCAATCCTCAAAAACATTTTCTAGCATTCAATATGTATTAGTATCATTTTATCAGTATGTTTTAGTATCATTTTATCAGTATGTTTTAGTATCATTTTATCAGTATGTTTTAGTATCATTTTATCAGTATGTATTAGTATCATTTTATCAGTATGTATTAGTATCATTTTATCAGTATGTTTTAGTATCATTTTATGCATATGTATTAGTATCATTTTAATAATAATGTTTCTTTATATGCACGTAATCATGTATACAAAAAAGAACATGAAAGATATGCATTAACAAACTACTTCATATTAAAAAGAATCAACTTTAAAAAATCAAATATATGTATAAACTATTTATTAGACCTTCAAATAGCTGCACACACATGTTTAAATAAAGTTTGGAGAAATATTATTAAACTCAAAGGTATAAATAAAATATTAGACATTTTTATATTTCTGACTAATAATTTTAATTATAGAAAATACATGAGTAAATTATTCAAAATTAAGAATTATATAACATTTAAAATTAAAGCAAAGTTTTGCATTTTAGAAAGCTAAAAGTTCTTGCAATAAAAATTTTTAATATAAATTGATAAGTCTGTATAAAGAGATGTTTGGCAAAGTGCAACACATGAATAGTAATATTTTTAAAATTCCAGAAAAGATAAACAGAAGTAATGACTGAAATATGTCAAGAATTCATTTAGATTGAATTTGCATGTACACTGTGCAAAAACGGGGGGCAGTTCTACATCTCCCGTTCGATTGGGCCGATTGATGAAATTCTCAACTTGTGTTTTTTTATGTCTTGAAAGCGTGACTTAGGATATGTATTAAATTTATATATAGCACTGTTCTAATATAGGTATTTTGATACAAAATCGGACTTTTTCTGAAATGACATGCCAATTTTTTTCCATATTTTGATTCTACGACTCAAATTATGCCTAAATATTTAATTTTCTAAAATTTGGTGTGAAATTTATGGAGAAATTCAAAAATTTATCTATTTGTATCAATTTGGCATATGTTTTTCAGTTTGCAGCAAGAATACCCTTAGCAAACTTCTTAATATATAGCAACCTATTTTCCTTTCCCTTTTTACATTGTGCATGAGCGGAAAAAAAGTCATTTTGTTCCTACTTTCAAATAATTTTAACAAAGTGCCTAAACTACATTTGATGTTATTATCACTTTCAACAAAATACCAAATTTCAAAATGTGCCAATATATAAATGCATGTATATCTTTGGAAATTTTGAATAAAAAACTCTTAATTTTTTTGCAGGTATGCTTAGAAATACATCTACTTTAAGATGATGGTAAAAATTTTACTGGTTATAATCCAAATTTTTTTCGAAAAATTTATAAAAATTATTTAAAAATACAAATTTAAAAAATAAAATATAAAAAAAGGGTGAATTTTATTTGGAATGAACCTAAATTTGAATTCTAGAAGAAAGAATTAAGTAAGTTTAATAAAAAAAAAGAGATTAATAAATACATACTGAAATTCAATTAACTTAGAGGAGCTAAATTTTGAGAACTAAGTTTTCAAAACTACATGTGCGCAATCTTTACAAAGCTTAGCAGTTTGGCCCTAAGTAGTCATAGAATCAAAATATGGAAGGAAAAAAAAGGCATGTCATTTAAAATTAAGTCCGATTTTGTGTCAAAATACCTGTATTAGAACAATGCTATATATAAATTTAATACATATCCTAAGTCACGCTTTCGAGACACGAAAAACACAAGTTGAACTCTGTCACTTGGTCCAGTAGAATGGGAGATATAGAACTGTCCTCTTCCCCCCCCGCAGTTTCCATGGGTTCTTCATGGACAAAGCACATATATAATGAACTACGGCTTTTGTGTATTGCTATATCACTGCAATGACAACAACAGCCCTGTATTTTGATGACCACAGAAATCAATGTGCTTGTTCTTTTAATTCAAACACAACATACAAAAAAAAAAAAAAGATAGGAAATGCTAATCATTAAAAAGAAGGGGAAACTAACACTATGTTAGAAAAGGAAACTAACATAGTGTTTGTTGCCTTAATGTCTTATTTAAACAAAAAAGTACTTTTAAGGCAAAAAAACAAGCTAATGTTAATACCAAGATGATGATGATGAAGATTTTTTGCCACTAGGCATTTGTTTTCTTTAATGACGGAAGAAAATATAACTTCAGAAAAAGCACACTAATTTAGTGATTTAATTTAGCCTTCAGGATGCATCAATTGCCTGCAAAGAACTATACAAGAGAAAATCAATCAAGAGAAATAAAGTATCAATCATAGTGCTGAAATACTTAAAAATTGTGCTGAAGTAATTTTATTCCTTATCTTTAATAGGAAAAGTTAACTTTAGCTCTTAGTCCGTTTAATTACATTTCTTGGAGAACGTGGCATATCAAGTTTGCATAAAAGAAGTTGACTTTCATTTTCTTGCAAAAAAAAAAAAAAAAAAAAAAAACTTAAGAAATGTTGGATCATTTTAAATGGGAGGTCATGGTTTATTCTAGTTAATGCATTATATGTAAGGCACTGTTTTAAATTTGGAATCTGATGTTAAATGTGCTAAGATTTAAAAAAAAAAGACGAGTTCTACTCATTAAATTAGAAAGCAGCATTTGGAATCAAAAGTGGGATAGGTATAGAAGGAAAGCATGCAGTTAAATACAGTGAAACCTAGATTCACATTTAAACCCACAGGAATTCATGTAAAAGAAATTAATTTGTTCCTGGACCACAGATGATCTCTTTTACAAATGTGGTCATAAGAATGAACCCAGACTGACAAAACTCAATAGAAACACTAAAACAGAAGTGAACAAAAAAACTAATTAATGGCATGAAGATGTGGCAATGAAACACTTAGACCTGTTGGGAGTTTTGGCATAAAGATGCTATGCCAATGAACCACTTACATTATATAGACACTATTTTATGAGTTATTAAGTTAATTACTTCATTAAAAATTATCTTAAAGGTGAATTTTGGAAGCCATTCATAAATGATGAACCTTGTTTGGGTCACTCATTACCTGTGAAATGTCTGTATTAATGATAACAGAATAGTAAAAAAGAGGGGATCTGTGCTAATTGTGACAAATGATCAGTAACTAAGGTTACTATGGGTTAAATTATCAAGAAATTCAAAAGCTATGTGTAAACGGTCACATAAATTAAGGATTAGCAGACAAAAGCTGACAAAAGTTAAGAAAAATATTATTAAATTTGGGCTAAAATATGAATCTTGCTTAATTTCCAGGTGATTTTTTTAAATTTATTTATTTATTTATTTTAAGAACGAAAATAATCGCTCTTATGAATAGGAAACTAAGTTAGAAAAATAAGCATTTTTTTCCAATAGCATCTTCTTCAGTTTAAAGGAGTTAAAATTCGAATACTTTTTTAAATGATAAGAAGCACTATAACTTTCCATTTACATATAAAAAATATAAGTGGATAGATATAGCAGAATAGCCTATGCAAGCCCTTCCATATATCAAAATTGTTCTATGCAATCAAATAAAGGTTTTAAGCAGTTCGATATTAAAGAAATGAAAAACAAAACATCAATACATGCATTTAAAAAAAAAAAAAACCTTTCTTTTCAAAACAGCTAAAACATTCTTTTTTTTTTTATACGAAAAAATTCTTATTTTGTAAATAATGAGTAAATATAAACACATATTCTTCTGTATTAAACAACGTCTGAATTTTTATATTTTTATGGAAGAAATATTTTTGAAAAAATTTATTCTAAAACTGGAAAAAAATCTCAATAAAAGGAACTATCATATTATAAGTTATATAACCAGAACAACAAAATGTTCATATTAGAATAGATACTTACCCCTGCATCTTCTCAAATAACCATGTAGGCTCCTTATTGATTGGAACATCAAGAGTGTGTACTTTTGCTAATTTTCTAGCTATGGTAGCTGAAATTTCTGGATCCTTCAATTCATCACATGTCATAGCACGAGCCTAAAATAATTTTCACAGACAAATTTTTATTAAACATTATGACAATTTATTTAACAGCTACATTATTTCTAAAATTAGCCACTCCCCTCCCCAAAAAAAAGATAAGATTACTATGCATTTTAACTCTACTAACTTCGACACCAACTAACATAAATCCTTCTTCCTCTTAATTAAAAGATTTTTTTATAAATTTCCCACTTTCAAGGTAATTATTCCCACCCTCCTCAAGAAGATGGAATTACATCACTGGCATGAAAACCAGTAGTGTTTTGTTAAAAAACTATGTCAATCTAAGTTTCTTTTTTGGAAGAAAAGGGGTCTAACTTTGTATGTGCTCTTTCCCTTCCAAAAAGTAACAACCATATGTTTCATTTATAGTATATGATTTCGATATTCATTTTTCTAATACATTTTTAAATTTCTAATTTGAATGAATAATAATAATACCCTTCTTTTTGATTATAGGCTTCCATTAGTTTGCACAAAACTGCTGCATCCATCTATTTTAATGCCAGGATAAGATAACAAGGAATTGGCATGTACTTCTCTCAGGTAATTATTTCAATAAACTGTCATGTGGTGATTCATTTGAAGCAAGCTTTGATAACTCAAATAAATGTTTACTCCCGACACAATAAATAAATAAATATATGGCAGTAATAAGTGAAATGCATAGTCCAGCAAAGCACATCAGAGTTCAGAACATCTTTTTCTTCGTGATAGAGCACTGCATAACTGTTTCGACTTCTACTTGTAGCTTAATTGCATGGATTGGTTATTCATACACAATCTTTCTTTGTGAAGAATACCTTTATTGAAGAAACAGGCCAGTTAGCTACTTGTCCATTTTTGGCATACATATTGTTCACTGCCACGCCTATCGAATTAATTTCTACCTTTTCGTTGCCCTGCGTTGGCAATATGCTTTTGAGATTTGTCGTTCGTAGGATTCGGTCGCTAAAAGCGTAGCTGGCCTGTAACGGTTGTAATTATTATTTATGCTTATCTGTACTTCTGAATTATTACTAAATGTTTACGTGTAAATGTTATATTATTAAATGTATTCAGTTTGGTTGAAATAGACCGAGAGTGACTGAATTTATTAAGTATAATCAAAGTCGAAACTGTGTCATCCATGTCGGCGCCATTCTAATACGAGGTACGTAAACACACATATATATATATATATGTAAAATATAAAAACATACGATGGCTTTGCTCTTTGCGAACCAGCAACCTTTAATTTTCTGCAATTCAGCATCTTCCCTTAGACCATTACCTTCTAGAACATTCACGCCTATTACATAACCTCCTCATATAAATGCTGCGCGCCTATTACATAACCCCCTCATATAAATGCTGTGTCATAAGTTTTTCTACATTTTTCTAGAAGCTACTCTGTTACATAACCTTTCATATAAATGCTGCATCATAAGTTCTCCTACACAGATGCCTTCTCGCCTTCGTCCTGCTAACACTTCCGCTATGCTCCTCTTTCTTTGTTAGAACGTTATGACGTATTAAAGTTTAAAGTCAATCGTATCTAATAGTTCAATTACTGAATCAGTTATTTGATTAACTCCATCTGGAAAAAGTCATCTGCTCTAAATTAAAATAAGGATATGCTTGCTGTTAAAAGTGAAAAGTCCTGAGTCGTCATTTTTCTCCGTACTTCAATCATCCCAGCTTCGTCAACCATCTGCCAGAATGTGTAATGGAATAGCCTCACCATTCGTCCACGATGTGTTGGAATAACTGAAAACATTACATATATATACCAAGGGCTGAAACCCATTGCAGTAAAAAGAGAGGGAATGATTAAATAAGAAATACGGTTGCATGAGTGATATATATAAAGGGAATTTTGACCGATAAAGAAGCCAAGTCAAGTTGGCAACACCTGGCAGCAAGAAAATACATCAGAACCCCCCCAAAAAAGTACCTATGGTATGGCTTTAACAGCACATTTCGAAGGATCTCTACCTAAGCAGCTGTAAATAAAAATGTATTACAAAGGAATTATATAAGAATTTAGTTTAATGTTGCAAAATGGTAAGTAAACAACTTTTCGGAACCTCTTCATACATATATTACAGTAACAAAAAGAGACAAACATGATAATTTGAAGGAAGAACAATGAGTCTGCATTTAAAGAGGTGGAAATATTCTAATTAAATCTAATAACTTTTTTTAAAAAAAGGAATTTTCCAGCTACCGAAGAGATAGTAAAAAGCCATAGAACAAAATGGTGCTTATGAGATTTAATGAAATTTTCTGATGTTTTGATAATGTTTCATTTGTATTTATAATCAAACTAGCACAGAAGTTTCTAGACAACTACATACAAATACACATATCATGTCTGCATAAATACTTCATTACCCTAATTTTATTTTCACAACTGTTGGTCGTAGACTTAAAACTTCTAACTACAATAATGTTTTAAATGGCCCAATTACTCATGTTACGGCATTTTTAAATTTAAAGAAATTAATTTTGTAAAAATTACAAAATATAACTCTTTAAATGTTCCATCACTTTAGGAAGATGCTTAGATGTCATTTTCAATTTCCCTTGAGGGGTCAGTTAATAAATGAATAAATTCAAGGTTGATTTTTCCACCTTAAATGCCATTTAATATTTTATGATTTACTTCTTTAATTTATAATTCTATTACATTTGTTATGATGACAGAACTTTCATATAAAGAGTTATAGATCTTCAAAGTCTAAACATACATTAGAAATACTGTCATGAAGTACTTTATAAATATACAAAAAATTAAACTGACAAATATTTTTCATTTTTAATCGCTGCAAAGAGTTGGTTACATGCCAGTACTGAAACCTACCAGTGTTTGGCAGAACATTAATTCTGTAAGATTCTGCAAATACAATCTCCATTTTGTCAAAATTTATTTGATTGCTATGTTTTACAATAATCTGCATTGAAACAGTCATTACTTAATCTTTGATATCAGAAACCTATTTCTGAATTGATTTTAAGTTACGTACAAATGCAAACATTTTACTTTTTCATTTCTGAATGCCCCCAGAATATGATCTCCAATTTTAATATCAAATATCTTGATCAATTTTTATTATATGGAAGGTCACAATTTTTGTTTTGTTTTTTGTAATGAGTAAAAAATTTTCCTAAGCATATACACTCATGTCCATAAATCAAGGATAATTCGGATTCACGCGGAAATCGAACTCTAAACTAAATACATCACCTGTAAGATCACTACACACATCTTCAAGAATCATATGCAAACTTCAGGAAGTAACCAGATGACACCGATGGTACGTCACAATGACGAGAGTGTAAGAGAGTGATACATAAGGAATACAGGCAAAGAAGTAAAATTGTTCATAGGCGTTTTATAAACATTTCAGTGCAATAACCGAATAGTCATGACACAAAGGACGCATTTGGATGATTTTTTACGTGGTAGAATTATCGGCCATCTGGAATGTGGGTGTACCCAACTGGAAGTATCAGACAAACTTGGAATTGCCCAGACTGTCTTCCCCAGGCTTTGGCAACGATTCCAAGATGATGGTAATGTGAGTAGATGTTACAGCACAGGTCGCCCCAGAGTTAAACGCCGAATGAGGACCAGTATTTGGCAGTTACTGCCAAAAGAAACAGGCGAAGCACAGCCTCAGATCTGTCTCATCAGCTCTCTTCAGCCACTGGTGTGACAATTTGAAGGCAGACCGTGTACAGACACTTAGGGCAGATTGGTCTATATGCTCGTAGACCTGTCAGATGCGTTCCACTTACTGCAACTCACTGTCGCCTGCGGTTAGCCTGGAGTAGAGAACATGCGTTGTGGACACCACAACAGTGGGCTTGTGTGATGTTTTCCGATGAGTCCAGGTTTAGCTTGCAGTCTGATTCTCGCCGGACTTTCATATAGAGAGCTCCAGGTACCTGTTACCACCAAGAAAACATCATGGAACGACACCGTTACGGTGGTGCAGGAGTGCTCGTTTGGAGTGGAATTATTCTGGGTTCCAGAAATGACCTGCATGTTAAAACTGGAAGCATGACAAGCTAAATCTATCGGGACGCCATTCTGGAACAACATGTACGTTTGTTTCGGAGCGCCATGGACGCACAATTTGTACTTATGGATGCCTCACCATGCAAACATCGTAAGCGAATGCCTTCAATCAGAGGATATCACCCGTATGGACTGGCCAGCATTTTCACCAGACTTGAATCCAGTAGAGCACGTGTGGGACATGCTTGGTCGACGAGTTGCAGCCCGTCAACCTCCTCCTACGTGTCTACCGGAACTTTGGAGAGCATTGCTTTTTGAGTGGTGTAATATTCCCCAAGATTAGATTGATAATTTGATATTCAGCATGCCTAGGCGTTGTACGAACTGCATTGCATCGTCTGGGAGACATACAATGTATTAACAATCATGTAATGTTGGTTTTTTTGTAAATAGTTTTTTTTTTTTTTTTTTTTTTTTTTTTTAAATTTGCTCCAGGGAGGAAAAAATCGCTAATTTTTTTAATAATATCAACCATATAGTATCTTTTTTTTACTCTTTACCTTTTGTTTAATAAATAAGCTTTAGAAATAAGTCAAATCTGTTTTGCTTCTAACTCTTCCTTTGCCTGATTTTGCATTATCCTTAATTTATGGACATGAGTGTATATATTGGGATTAGAATATATAAAAAGCTAATTAATTACTGTCCATAAGCACATTTTATTGTACTTTTTGCTCACTTTGACAGAATGTTAAAAATTTTAATAGTCTTAATTTTTATATTTTATTTATTTCATGGTTTCACCATGCTTAAGTTATTAGAATTATTTTTCCTCTTTATACATAAGATCAAACATTTGTTGCTATGAACCACTCACTAATTTTGGCAATTTAGATCATAATTAATAATGAAAACACACAGATTTAATTTGCAATAATAAGTATGTAAGGTTTTACATAAATCTTATAAAAACAATTACAATTATGGAATTTTTCACTACATTCATTAAACAAAAATGTCTACTTGAAGTTCAAAATTTAACAGATGACACATCACATATTATCAAAATCTGAGATTTTGGATTGTTGGGACTTCAGAAATATAGAACTTCAGAAATTTCTGGATTTTATATCACCAATTTTAATCCTGTAAGATGAGAGGTAGAAATGATAAAAAGTTAAAAACATGCAGTTGTTTATGAAACAATGAAGTATTTATCACATAAAGGTATAAAAATTTACAAAGAAGCTCAGTATTTATTTGTTTGGTTTATGAAACATTTCTTTCAATGTTAGTTGATTAAGCTGCTTCCTTTTTTTTCACATTAATACTTTCCCTTTAATTTTAGAGACAGACATAATTTCTTGTTTAATTACAAAATTCAATCATCCAAGTTTTAGTACAGTGTCGAGAATTCTTACTAAATTCAAAGCTGGATTAACCATTAAGCAAAATAAAGCACACGTTTCAGTCATCAAGAAAATGGGACACCACAAAAATTTCTCATTGCTGGTTTTACTATAGAAGGTATGATGTAGCTAGATCAAAGACTGAGTGAGAAGAAATGGAAAAAAAGCACGGGTGTTATGCTGTAAATGTATGTGGAGGAACTAAAATCTTTTAAGAGTTTAGGAACTCTAAATATCTTAATCTGGCCTTGATTACACTATGAATTGAAATTTTTTCATTCTCAACAATCTCTTGTCAATTTTGTCACTACAGGTAGAAATATTTTCTTGGACATTCTCATCGCAATGGAAAATTTCTGTGATATGATTTTCATTTATTATAATTTCTTCACAAATTTCATTAATTGAAAAATTTTACCTTTTGCTTACAATATACAAAAACCTTTGATATCTTGGTCATCATCATCATCACTATGAAATATAATAGCTGACCATAAAATATGGCACATATTTTTTAAAATATATGCAGACACATTCTTGATTCCACATTCTCTCACCTTGCAATCCTCAGCATTTCTCAAACTCTGGTCTGGAACACACAAGCGGCTGAGCGGTAAAGTCGCTGAACACTAATAGTTCAATAAGGGACTGCATGGGAGTTTTCATGGTTTTTTCCCATATGTATCATGGATATAGCAACTTTCCCTTAATAAGTCCTCCACAAAGATTCATTTGCAATAGGCAGATATTCCTTTAGTTGCTCTGCCTTAATCAATTATTAACCAATCAAACTGTGGTCCGATTATATGGTCCTTAAAATCTTCCTCTGTAGTCATCCTAGATTTGCAAAAATGTCCTCTTATATTTGTAAACAAAACTAGCAAGATTTTACATCATTTCTTGCTAATGCCGTGTGGCTAAGTACATTGGATTACCTTTCAGATGGATTCTGAAAACTATCTACATGGTAATTCTTTGATTGTTCACAATACCCATGAGAAATTAAAGTGGTTTGAAAGGAAACTTGGTTTGTGAGTTAGTTGTGCAAAAAAGAGAAAATTTTCACTATTTCCAGCCTTAGAACCTCTTCTTTTTCTTATTCATTATCGGAAAGGAATTAAGCAAGAACATATATTCGCATCTCAAAACTTTGATCAAACAATTTAAAATTTACTAACTTGAAAACAAATTAAAATTTATTAACTTAAAAACAATTTAATTTTTTTTTTAATTTTAACTTTTATTATTTACTTAAAAACAATTTAAAACTAATTTTTAAAGAAGGAAATACAACAAATTTTATAGGTTCTTGATCCTTTCCAGTGCGATTCAAAAGTAACAAACTGTCGTTGAATGAAAGAGAAAAGTTAACTGAAATTTGTTATGACATTAAATTTCCAAGCACTTCTTTAAAATGAATTTCTAACACTAGTATATGTGAAAAATGTAGTGATGCTATGTGAAAAATGTACAATGGTGCTTTAAAAACTTGGGTCAGTTTTCTCTTACTTATCTATGAAAGAAAATTTTTTTATAACTCCCCCCCGGGTGAAAAAAAAAGGGGGGGAAGGACCAGTGCCAAGCTCACACAAATTTACCAGCATGTATACATCCAAACACAGAACAGCCATGAAAAAATTGGCAGGCTCATTCATGTCTTTAATGTGTGTACCAACATTTATTTTATTTTTGGTCAATAAGAAAAAGATTATCCAAACTCTGATAGTCTTGAATTTTTTATAAATTAAACTGATTAACACCAATATAAAATGGAAATTTTAATTAACTGTATTTAAAAAATAAGTATTGTTGTTGTTGTGACTTATCTCACTCGTCTGACAATAGCATCATCAGAAACTCATGAGATTCATCATGGCAAGGACAGCAAGATTGTGCCTGTTGTTGACAAGAGCCTTGAGCACCATACAGGTCACAGTAAGACTGCTCAGTTCTGTCCCCAGTTTTTATGGAGAGCCCCATGAGTCTAAGGGTCTGACACCCCTCTTTCCCTAATCTCTCGAGAGGGCTTTTGGCTCGACATAGATTTAAAGTATTCCCATGCTGCAAAGATTCTATACATTTACAAACATCCATTCCTTCTCCGGGATTCGAACCCACGCCCTTTGGTACTGCAGTAAGCTCCCCTAAACACTGTCTGGCCAGCAATATAAGTATACTAACACAATATGTGCTAAAAAAAATTCTTTCAAAGGAACCAAAGTAAGCTGGTTCACAAAACATTCGAATTTATAAAAGTGATCCTAACTTAAAAAAAAGTTCGAGAAATGCTACTTTAAAACTGAAAGTGAGACATAGGAAACTCAGTCAGTCAAAAGAAAAATCACTTTTATGGCATATCTACTTTTCCTTCAGTAGTACATTCTCAATTCCAAGACAAGCAAGGGGGGGGGAGATGCTGGCAGTTCGGAGGTCCGAATATTAGATAACTTCAGATATAGAACATTTTGGGGTTCACATTTTTTTAATTTAAATTACTTCTAACGTAAATACATTAAAATAACCAAATTTACATATTACATCTTTTAAAACTTACTGGAATGTATTCTTCTAAGCGACCGCCAGGAAAAATGCCATACAACTTAGGGCCAAGTTTTCTTTCGGACAACATCATAAATATAACACTTTCTGTAACTTTTGCCTCTGCTCCTTCATGTATCTGCCCATACATTCTCATTAAAACTTGATGAGGTTCACCGACAAGTGGCGTATGAGTTTCAGGCAAAGAGCAGTAGTACAACAAATTGCTCATTCCACCACTAAAAAAAAAAAAAAAAATAATAAATAAAATCATCTAAAAAATAGTTATATTTTTTTGAAATAACTAAACAACACACATAAAACTTATACAAGATAATAGTTTTTTCATGGAAAGGAATAAAATTTAATAGAAACATATTAACAGAATATTCATACTAATGCAATTTCAATATATCATAAATCCTTCACAGGACATTATTCTAAATTATATACTATTATTATTACAATTAAATATAAATTTGATATTATATGAATAGATATAAATTATAAGCTCAATACATCAAAGTCTTATCAGGAGTCCAAATCCGAATGTCTATAATCCGGACCTCAAGCTAAAATTTCTGCGCATGCCTACGCAAATAGTTACGCATCGCGTTTAATGTATAAGGACGTATGCTAAGCTAAAATTATTATCTATTTCAGTTAATGTTGCAGATGCGTTGTTCCTTAATCTTCGAATTGGATCCGGCTTATTTTTTCACGTTGAGCATTTTATAAAAGTAAGCTTGAACTTTCGATTATCAAATAGAATTTCCGATGCTGGACTGCCAAAGATCCAAAGCGAAAGCATGTTTCATGTCCATCAACAAAAGTGGAATTGCTGAAAAAATGGATAAAGGCATATCCTTTGTTTCAACCATTTCCAAATCTTATCAATTTCACTGCTCTGCGGGGGGGGAGACGCGGCGCGCAATGAACTGGAAGTATCTGTCAGCACTATCTTATCTCAGGGGCAGAGTTTTTATTATTCGGCTTATAATTCACTAAATGTAGTATTCCTCTCGATGTACTGTCTTTGATATGATTTAAATCAAATCGTCATTATAAATAACGAAACACATAAATAGTTTTCTGGTTGCAATTTTTAATTTCGACGATGGTAATGTATGCTTTACGCCTGCGCGCATTGAAAGAAAGTTTAATAAAGTAACAATAAATAACTTTTTTTTTTTGTAAATTTTGATACCCTTTAGATCTAATTGCTTTATTTCATAAATTACGGTTTCATATTTTTAATTTTATAATTTCTGCATGCCATCTTACAGAGATTTAAAACTGATGATCTATAATAAAAACCGAAATTGCCGAAGTCCCGACGAGTCCGGAATTAAAGACTTTTGACTGCATAACATTTAATATATAAATAATTAACTTTAAATCAATTACATCATTTAAATATGTAAATTAAATCAAGTCAAACCAATTCAGAAAAAGTTCACAAAGTAGCTCATTTAATTCGATAAACCACGCACGCATTAAGAGGGAGAGAAATCAATCTCGAATTTTCCTCATTTATATTTATAAATTGACCCCTCAAAGCAAATTAAAAATAACATCAAAAAACGGCACATTTTAAAAATAATATCTCTGACAATTTTTATCGTGTGGTAGTCATTTTGTGTTTCCTTTTTGTAATGAGTAACTGATTAAAAAAAGTACGAAAATAACATGAAAACGAAGTGAAGAAGTAAAAGGAGATACTTTCAAAGATTATTAAATATCACCAGATTTTTAGCAAAACTAATTTATGGCATCAACCAAGGAACAATTTATTACAAGAACAACGGCGAACCTAAATCAAATAGAATGCTGTTCGCATCAGTCGAAACCCAGTGACTTACACGAATTTGCAATAAATGGGTCCAGGAAGGTGCAGACAAAGTAATGAGCTCGATCTCAACAGCCACTTACCCAATACTTGAGTTGACAAACAGTCTGCATCGGGATCGTACAGCCACATCACGTATCCTGAGTTAGGAAAGTGGATGTGTTTCACAGCATCAAACTTCGGCACAAACAGCATAATTATGTCTGCAACGCCATGGATTATCAGCAGCGCAATATTTTTTCAGCTCCCCTTGACACTACAGCACAGGAATGACCGTCTATAATGGTACGTTTAACGAAGCGCATGGATGCATCTATGACATGAAGCATTTTTTTTCTGACGAATCCCGTTTTTGCTTGTAGCATAACGGCAATTGTGTTGTTATGTGGAAGCCACAGACCTTATAAGAGATAGACTAACCCAGTAGGCGGGGCG